TGCGAGGGCAGGGGGGCGCCCAAAACCCGGAGCGCTCCCGGCTTCATGGTTTGCCGGGCAGCCTCCAGACCCTGTGCCCCCGGCTGGGCGCTTCCTCTCCCGGGCTCCAGCTGTGTTGGGGAAGCGCCGGCCGGGGGCGCAGGGTCTGGAGGCTGCCTGGCAAACCGTGAAGCCGGTAGCGCTCGGGCAGCCCTTTTCGCGTGGCTGGGAGGGAGGAGGGGAGTTAGGGCGGGGACTTTGGGGAAGGGGTGGGGAAAGGGCGGAGTTGGGGCAGGGCTGGGGGTGGGAAAGGGGCGGGGCCAGGGCCCGTGGAGTGTCCTCTTTCTATTTTTTTTATTTTTTAAATATGGTAACCCTACTGTACATACTCATAGAAGCACTAAATGAAATGTAACCATTATTTCTGCAGTCAAAGGTGCTGAAGCCTTACAAAAAGCGTAAAGCAACACTATGGTATTGCCACCCTCAGGGGTGGCAAGTTATATGGGCCCATGGTGCCCGGGCTTCAACAATATTCCGGGCCCAGGGGCCTGCCGCCCCCACGTGCTTCCCCTGAGTGTCCCGTGGTCCCCACTTGCTGCCCCCGTGCACCTCCCCCAGGCCTCATAGCGTCCCTGCCTTTCGCCTGCAGCTCTGCGCTCCACTCTGCTCTGCTGGCTCCTGGCATCGACTGCAGCTGCAGGGTCCTAGTGCCCCCCATGCACTAGTGTCAGGGCAGGCTGACCCTGCCTATCTGCCAAGGACCCTTCCCTTTTCCAGCATAGGTCCCCTCCTGCCCCAGGCTGGGCAAGGGGCAACCCCATCCCCCACCCCCAGTGAGGCTACAGAGAGGGGCAGCAGCAGGGGAGGAGGCATACATGTGATGGCAGACCCCTCCCCTGCACCCACCACAGGGGAGGTGAGGGGGCTTCCTGGACCTGAGAGGGGCCCTAGGAGCACATGCAGTGGTGCGAGGTGAATGTGCTGCCAGGTGCTATATCCCCTTGTCCTCTGTTTGGGAACTTGAAATATGGTAACCCTAGCAAAGGATCTAAAAGTTATCGCAATATTTTTTGTGATCTTGTGACCCCCTCTACAATAGCTTTGTGACCCCTTTTTGGGTAGGGACTCCCGGTTTGAGAAATGCTTCCCTAAAGGCTATTAGTATGTGGAAACAGGGTCCTGTTGAAAGTGTCTAAAATGTAGCTAAAGACACAAAGTTGTGTGGGTTTTGATATTTACTATTCATTTTTACATTCTGGAATATTTTTTTTAAAACACACTTTTCAGTCCTTGAGATGACAGTTTTTCATTAGTGGAATAATAGTCTCCCCTGCTGGAAAAGCTCTAGCCTTTTGCTGTATATTGAAAAATGAGAGATTGTTGGTATGCTTTCCTGACAAATTAAGAATGCTCAGTGTTCTGTACCATGAGTTTTCCATGTCTGATATGCATTGAATGTATGTTTTAAGCTACAGTATTTATTTTCATGTTATGGAAAGTTGAAGAAAGATGAAATAAAGACTACAGTTCAGTGCTCTGGGGAGTGAGGGGAAGAGAGAGACTTAGACAATAAATCCCCAGAACTGGAAATCTCAACTTGTGATGCTTTTTTTGCTCTATGCTGTCACGTAGCAGCTGTGTGCCATCTTGACTCCGGTGGGGAGGTCCAGTTTCCTCACAGTTCCTTCACTCTGGTACTGCTGATCCTGCTGTTTTTCTGCTTCATTACACTAATCTGTGCATTGTTGGTGCCTTTTCACTTCCAGCCCTTCAGACAGGTTCAAAGGCTACTTTAATGGAACCAAAGAAAAGCGCTACAGCCCCACAAAAATATTCAACCAATTTAGCAAATATTCAATAGTATGATTACAGAATTAAATTCAGCTGCAATGGTACAATGACAGGCTTAAAGGAAATCCAGACTGAAGTTCAACCTCTTTGGTGAGAAGTTGATACAGTGAAAAACCTGTTGTTCTATTTAACGGACTGCTAAATTATGAGCTGCTGGAAGTGAGTAAGAATAGCAAACCTTTCTTGTTGCAGTTAATAATTATGGCAGAAGTAAGTCTTTCTACACAAAGATTCTAATATAAATTCTTATTTTTTAATCTTAAAATGTATTTTTTTTATACTCTTATGTTTGAAATGAACCAAATTAGTTGGTGCTACTATTGGAAAACCTTCAATATCAAGATGAAATATTTTAATTAAATTTAATTGAGCAGTAGCTATTGTGTAGTCATTATTCACTTGTAAACATGGTCTGCCTCAGTTGACAGCAATATTATATACAAATTCCAATTTAATTTGTGGTTATCATCATTGTGACAAACTTGTTTCCATATAATCTGGTTTCTGTAACATTCTTCTATGCTAATCCAGACCATGCTTTATCACCACCTTTGGGGAAGTGGGCTTGCCAGTTATGCTTCTGGTTTGTTGTGGTTTTTTTTTTCTTATTTCTTTTCCATTTTCCTTTATGACCACTTGTCCAAGGAATCTGGCATGTGGCTACTTCAGTTTTGCTACCACTACACTACTGACTTAAATATGTAAGCTTGGTCAAACATCAGAATAATACTGCATTTGGAGGTCATGTTTTGGAATGTACTATACAGGAAGAAACGCCTTAATGTTATAGGTCAATCATAGACATCTTTTCCTTTTCACAAGAAATCATAACAAAGAGGATTGTTAGCTCTCTTTGTGTTGAGAGCATTTATTATGCCTCAAGTTCCTACTTGCTAGGGGCTCCTCCTTAGTCAAACTGCATCACATATGGGTGGCCTGTTGGTCTCAGGGAATATCCATTTGGTCCCTGGAAATTTTGGTCCTGAGAGAGTTTCCCTGTACTTTTATTTGATATTACAAACAATATGTAGTGCATCTTTTGATGCAGCATTTGAACAGTAGATGTTGCAGGCTGCCTTTCCTAGGTAGCCCTAGTCTTAAGGTCTGGTCTGGCATTATGCTAAGGAAGGGTAATTTCTTAAATGTTAATACGTTTCTTTAAATATTTTTATGTCACCTAGACATCCTAGGCAGTTATGCTGAGATGATAGGATTGTTCTTTGATTTCTTTTTGATAGTTAACTACAGTTATTGCTAGACTGTTCAGCTGCAGCTTGGCAACCACAGGAAACTGTATGGAGAGTCTCGTCCTCTCTCCATCTCTTTGAATGAAGGTGATGATTTTAGAAGGAGTGAGGGAATATAGCAATCTATATATTCAATTCAGGAAGTCCCCTGCATATGTGGATTGAAGTTACCTTTGGGGGGAATTTGAGGCTTTTTAACAGGGCTTTGGGTTGAGCCCTCTAATTGGCACTGGTTCAGAAACAACTAAGCTGCATTATTAATTTAACAGGTTTTATAAATACACATAGAGACATACAAGTATTTTTCTAAATAGAATCAAATTAAATGGCATCTATTTTCTATAATGATAGTTTGTATTGTTTGGGTCAACCCTGTAACTGGTGCCTTTAAAGAGGAGTAATCATTCTAGAGCACTATCTTACAAGTAGATGTAGTGTGAACGTGCATTATTTTTTTAACTGTTTTAATGTTTGGTTTTGATGAGATGTGAGCTGATATTGCAACATCTATCAAGTTATATTGAACATTGTCAAACTCATTAGATTACTGCTTTATTTCATTAATTCAAAGCATCAATACTTTGATTATGGTGAAAACATGTGTATTTGCTATTTGCCCAGCCAGAGTAGGGTAGAAAATACATTAGAACTGTTACATTGGTGTTAATGTAACAGTTTTGTCTTGGCTGCTGCAGATGTCTGTTTTAAAGACATGCATTTCTTTACCCCCTGTACAATTGTAATACTGCCATAAGCTTTTAAATCTGGGTAATACTTCAGTCAAACTGTGTGTTAATTATAACAACTCATTAAAGATTATGGTTATGATGGAGGAAAAAGGATTGAAATTACCCTAGATTAATTTAGTAATATCTGGGATACATTCTTTTCTAGAGTCCTTGTTTGTCTCTTCTCTTTGGAAGTAAAAGCCCTGCTGTCAGGCACAGATTTGCCCGTGGTTCCTGTCTATTTGGTGGAGGCTGTTTGTGGTGCTGGAGAGGCATCTGTAATGCTGGGGAGTTGCCAGGACCTCATTAAGTGCATCTTGGATCACAGCCAGACGTCCAATGCAGTGGAGCCTCAGCATTTTCTCTGAGAACCAAGAGAAGCAACTGGAAAAGGGGGAGGGGAAAGGAAGAAAAGTCTGCTTCACCTATGAATTGCTGTGTTTTATTGTGTTAAATGGGTCTAGCTGAACTTTTGGAATTAAATTTAGCCCTTAACGTCTACTAGCTGTTGTAAAGCTGAATAGAGCATCCCCTGGCCCCCTTCTTCCTTTTTTTTTTTTTAATTAATGAGACACAACAATTGTAATAGGGCATTCAAACTTCTGTCCTTCAATACTGTTAATAAAAGTGACTTTTCTTTTGCAGTTTTATGACCCAGATGAGAATGAAGTAAACATGACCAGTGTAGCAAAATAAGGCAGTTTAAAAGATAATTTGTGAAGTTTGAGCCTCAGATTTTCCATATCTTTAAAATTGTACATTCTCTTGAAAAGGAAATATATCAGTTGATCCTTATGTCCTTAAATTGCTCACTGTAACAGTAAATGATGTGAATGAAATGCTAATGTACATACATTTGTGCATAACTTTCTGTAATGCACATGCCTAGGTTTCTTTAAGTATATAATACATGCAATAATTAAAATATTATATACTTCAATTACACAGCTGGAGAAATAAATGTTTACCTGCAAGAGGCCATATTTTAAGATCTTTTTAGATATTTGAGACCTAAAGTAACTCAGTCCTTCTGAGATCAAACAAGAAAGTTCGTAGCTCTCTGAAATGAAGTTCTTCTAATGCAGAAGGAAAAAGTAGAATGCAACCTGTGATCATACTACTAAACTAAATTCAAGCTATTAAAAAGTATATCTTTGTGGTGCTGGTGTAGCTTTGAGTAGTGCTGGCCATAAAAAGCTCTTTGTACAGACACAGGGTAAAAAGTACTGCCTTATCAAATGTTTTGAACAACTCACATGTAAAATTGTACACTGAGACTAGCTAAGCGTGAAGGGAACCCAGAATAGTTTAGTGTTCAGCAGTTATGTGATTATAATGTGAATTGATCTCACTGAATGGCTTAGAAGAGTGTGTTACTTGGATACGCCTCAATCAGTCTCTTCTCTGTCTTCCTCATACCCCTTCCCATAAAGTCTCCAATACTGATTGAAAAAAGACATGAAAATTAAGCTACAGTGTGATACTATCCAGCACTGTCAACTGTGAAAGGTATTATTTGTTCATGTTAGCTGATTTGTTACGTAAATTAGCAAAATAAATCTCTTCCAGGCTTTTAAAATTTTGTTTCTTTTGCAAATACCTGAGTTGTAAACTAATACTGGGAGATCTAATAGGATATCCAGGAAAACAGCAATCTGGCCAGCACAGCTGGGCCAGAGGGAGATCATTTTTCCTGGAGGAATGGTGGATTTTGTTGTTGATTATAGTATGTATATGGTAAACTTCCATACAGCACAATTTTTGTTGTACACTGTGAAAATGGAAACTAAAAATGTGCCAAGTTATCTATGATACTGGATTGCGAAGTACATGGAGACATAAAATTCATGTACTCACAAATGCCCCCAAACTAATCAGTTTGTAGCAGAGCTCTCAGAATAAGTTGAACTGTTTGTTGCTGTGAGTACACTACAGCTTTTCTGTGAATTTTACAAGGAATTACTATGGACAGCTTTGCCCATTTTATGTTCCATACTTATTTTTTAGTATAAGATTTTTGTACAGTAATGAATATGTATTGTAGGTATTTACTTGACATCACTGTTCAAGATATGGGAGTTATTCTCATATTTTATTTGAGCTTGTGAAAATGCTTCAAATTGAGATGAACTATAGTCAGAGAAATTGGACACTGGTAAACACTGTTGCTCTTTGTACAGCAGCAGATTGGTTAATAGATTCATGCTGCTGCTCTCTGCAAAGGAGCCAGGTCCGAACAAGAGGCCCACTGTTCCTGTGTGTTCTGGGATGTGGATATATTCATAGTTAGTTGGGATCTTTCTCTGGGGACAGTTGGGCAACCCATGGTTGTTGGGTGTTTTTAGTTTGTTTTTTTTACTACTTTTGTTTTGGCAGTGCAAGCTGTAATATTGATGAGTGATTAAAACACTTTTAAAAAGAAGCATTGAATTTGTGTAAAACCATTCCGCAGTTTCTGAAAGAAAACATTGTTACTTTCACGTTTTTTTTCTTTCCTCTCTCACATTGACACTTACTGTTGATGGTGGTTTTTGTTTTGTTTTGGTTGCTGTTTGATTCTTGAAAAAGGCTGCTTGATCAACTTATTATTTAGTCTACCTGAACTGTTCCACCTCTTACACAGTAAGACTTTGACAAAAAAAAGGGTATAAACAAGGATAAACAAATCAGTGCAAGCAAAGGAGTCCACTGAACAACCAAAAAGTAATACATGGGCTGGCAAAAGTTGACCAGCATTTCAAGTCGTGCTGTAATTTACCAGAGAAACCCTCAAATTAAAAAAAAAAAAAAAAAGACCTACTTTGTAGGCTAATAATGTTAGTATATACCAGACTACTGATGTGTTTGCTGTTAAAATAAATTTTAGTTATGCAAACTTTGAAATTATTTGGAGCAAAAAAATAAAAGTTCAGAAACATTGGCACACACACTGGAAAAACTGTGTGTGTTGTACTTAGTTTTTAAGGCTATTGATTTTTCACATATCTGTCTCTGCCACATAGAAAAAAACGCCTGGTTGTTGGTAATGGTCAGGGGGAAATGATTTTGACCACTGCAGCACACTCATTTATTAAGGAAAGAACAGGAGTTAGGTACTTGGAAGAAGTATGGAAATATATGGTTAAAAAAAAAAGAGTCCGTCTATACATAATCACATCTCATTAATTTTATAAAGAATTATTTTTGTGACCAGTTAGTCAAATTAATGTGCAAAATAGCTTGTCATTTCCATTACTCACATGTCTGACTAAAGGAGTGTTCCTTTTATATGACAAAGGATGAATATAGGACTTTGGACGACTCAGATAAGGAAAACTATGTTTAAAAGGGACCTATATTTAATTTCCATTTTAACTATCTCATCCATTTTAACTGTATGAGCATAAAGTACCTAAACCAAAATTTAGCCAGTTGGATCTTTGGACTGTTGATTTGGATTTTTTTTTAAACTGTAGGTGATGCACCTTTCTCGCTGTAATAATTGGAGTCAACATTTTGGTTTGTTGTGGTTTCGATTGGAATGCTCAAAATCAGATTGCAAGCCTATACAGCCAGCCTTATGGATCTGTGACTCCTATACCCATCATCCAACCTTTTTTTGCTCCTAGAAATAGCTCCTAGAAAAGAGTCTAGCAAATAATTTAAAATTAATAATTTTATCCATTGAATTCTCTCTTTCTGGTCATAATTTCCACAATCAGTTATGATTTCCTTGAATTTATTCAAATATCTAAAATATTTTTTACTCTGCTTATTCAAAATTTGAACTTTCTTTCTTGCAGCTGGTTAGCCCAGTTGCACTACATTTTTTTCTTTCTTGCTTGTGTACAAGAAGTGCTTATATACTCATCCAATTTTACACATGCGGATTTAAAATTTGGTTTTCTTAAATATCTATCTATGTGACTTTGCAACTTGCTTTTTGCAAACATTTTTGTCAGTGAAATTTAATTGCTCAGTTGTTCATGGAAAGTGAACGCACAGATTGTAAGCAAGACAAGCCAAATTCATTTTAACATTTCAAAAAATGTGAAAAATTGTTTTTCATTCATAGTTATTGTTATTCTAGCTTTTAATTATTTAAAAACTTATTTTAGATGTTATTACTCAAGCTCCACACCAATGGGCATCCTGAAAATATTTTAAAAACACAAGAACTTAAGAGATGCAAAGTAAAAGTGGAACAAAGCAACAGCATTTCTTCATCACTCGTAGTGACAAATACAACGTAAAACCTCCCATTGAACATTCTCACTAGTTGGAAATCCCACAGTTCATTGCTTCAGTCCTTCACCAATGCCTGCTCAAAAGCATGGGCTTTGCTGTGTGCCTTTCAGGTCAGCAAATCCAGGCTATTTTGGACTTTGGGGCACAGAGCATTTCAAAGGAAACAGGCTATTACCAAACGTCTTTATCACACAGAGGCATCAGGCTCAGAGAACTTTGCTGATAGCAATTGTGGCAGGATGACATAGCACATTTAAATAATGTCTAGCCCTTTTCTTTGCAAAGATAGCCTTGAAAATGTAAACTGATTACTAGGACTGAAAGGTTTTTTTTCCCCACTGCTTTTCATTCTTATTCTGAAGGAGAGTCAGCAGGGATGGACCCAATGGGGAATCCCTGAACTCCTTTCAGGTTTGCAGAGAGCTGTCATTTTGGGGTAAGCCTGTGTTGGAATTCCTTCCAAGACCTTTCCACTTGGACTATTCAGAACACTTTGTTCAGTTCTGGAGGAAAACTTCATACAATTCTCTTGGATCCAAAAAACTCAGTTCGACTCCAGCTCATCACTCAGATTACTTTATTAGGCATGTAACAGCTCTTTCTTTCCATGCTGGCCAGGCCCAGGTGCAGGTAATTTAGGTTCAGGGTGGTATCACAATTCAGGTCACACACTACACAATTTATATTCATTTTTCCTATTAACAGCTATGCTTCCTGCATGTGAGGACCAATCGCTTTGCAGCTTGCATAAGGCAAACTCATCATGTCAGTGTATTTCTGCCTACTTTTGTTTATAATAAACATATTCACAATAGTTAGTAGTTTCAGAAATTACTTGTTTGAGCTTATTCAGCAGTTACTTGTTACTTGTTCAGGCTTGACTTGTCTTGTCTTAACTTGGGCCTGTTCACGTCAGCTAAATTATCCTTACAACCTGTTAAAACAAAAAACAAACACACAAACAAAAAACCCTCGACCCACAAAAATATTTTCCCCCTTTTCCCCACCCATAAGAAATAGTCCTAGCCACCCATCGGCGTCTGCTATGACTAAATATTTTCAGGACGACTAGAGGGAAGATTAGTTGAAGCACCTGAAAACTTAACTGAGGTCATTTATATGAAATGGAGGGGGAAAGGGGTGACTTTTCAGTCCATAACCTGCTTCCTGCTGCAAGGTTATTTGGACAATTGACCCTTGCACAACTCATGTAAATATTAGCATCTGAGCCTTCCACAACCAGCTGGGGTGCACTTACCCTGTAACAGAAGACTGAACAGTGTGCCCTTGTTGCCAAGGCTAATGGCATTTTGGGCTGTATAAGTAGGGGCATTGCCAGCAGATCGAGGGACGTGATCATTCCCCTCTATTTGACATTGGTGAGGTTTCATCTGGAGTACCTGTGTCCAGTTTTGGGCCCTACACTACAAGAAGGATGTGGAAAAATTGGACAAAGTCCAGCGGAGGGCAACAAAAATTATTAGGGGGCTAGAGGACATGATTTATGAGGAGAGGCTGAAGGAACTGGGATTGTTTAGTCTGCAGAAGAGAAGAATGAGGGGGGATTTGATAGCTGCTTTCAACTATCTGAAAGGGGGTTCCAAAGAGGATGGAGCTAGACTGTTCTCAGTGGTACCAGATGACAGAACAAGGAGTAATGGTCTCAAGTTGCAGTGGGGGAGGTTTAGGTTGGATATTAGGAAAAACTTTTTCACTTAGAGGGTGGTGAAGCACTGGAATGGGTTACCTAGGGAGGTGGTAGAATCTCCTTCCTTAGAGGTTTTTAAGGTCAGGCTTGACAAAGCCCTGGCTGGGATGATTTAGTTGGGAATTGGTCCTGCTTTGAGCAGAGTATTGGACTAGATGACCTCCTGAGGTCCCTTCCAACCCTGATATTCTATGATTCTATGAAGGTTCTTCCCCAAATCTTCATTTGTAGCTGATCTTATGGGAAGATTGGACTCTTATTTTTGAGGGATGACGGAAAAGGTAAAAAATTGTTTCCAAGGCTCACCCTAAAAAACTAAATATTTATTGCTTTTTGTTGGTTCCAGACCCTGTGAGTATTATATTACTGGAGATTCAAAAGTAAGTTGCTGTAGTAATGCTGCAGCAGAGCTATCCACTGTTTTATTTTTTCTAAAAACTGTGTATAGAGCCAGCATATATAACACCAAAAAAGTGAAATGTGATGAGATAGAGATGAACAGTTTCAGATCAGTTTAGATCTTTAGTATATGGCTGGTCAGAGAGGGGTTTTTTTTTGTTTTTTTTTAATTACTTGCTTTATCCATACGAGGCAACTTGATAAAAGTCAGTGTGGTCGCTCTCCTTCTCCGTGCTAGTATAAATAGTAAATTTCTTCTAAGGCTTTTGTAGTCAGGAATGTGAATTCTTGTGAATTTCTGGTGTGGGCAGGATAGGATTAGGGTGTATCTCAGCAGAAGGTGATTGTGGGGTGCATAGATTCTGTGGGATTCTGATGTTTAAGATGCTTTACAGACTGGTTCCTGCTCTGAGAAGCTTAAGTCTAATGTAGATTATAACACAGCAAGACATTTAGTGTCCTACTTCATCTTCTGTTCCATTTTTAATTAATTTGATGGTAAATCCAAGATGGAGAGTCTGTGTCAACTTTTAGCTTGATTGTATGAGATTTACAATTTTGAGTTGAATATCAGTATTTGAAACTTAATTGGGTGTTGTTAATCTAGTACAATTTACGTAAAAAATGAATGTCAAAATGTGTACACTGGAGGGTTCCAGAAGTGAGAAGTGAATCAGAGTTGCTGATCTAATGGATTTGTGGTATTGTGGGATTTTGGCAAATGCAGAGGTCAAGTCTCCTGTGAGTGTGGCATTTAGATCTGGTATTTTTGGGAGGGAACTACTAAAGTAAGCCTTTCTACCCCTCAAAAAATCCCACACACCCCTCCATTTCATTTGAAAGAATATTGGAAAGGAGGTTTTCCCATTGTCATTCACTGCACACACTATACGAGGGGTAGGATTTTATTTCTTTTGTTGAACATAAATGCATTTATATGGGCATAAATAAATAAATTTATTTAGTGCTGGATGTGTCCCTTGCTACAAATTTTTAAAGCGTGTATTTACTACTGTTGCCTGAATCCTTAAACAAGGCTGAAATGTGTAGTTTGGCATGAAGAATAGGCTTTACAGGCTATCACATATTGCAAATTCCTTTTTTGGCTCTTAGAACCAGCTTAAAATCAAGGCAATACAACGGTGTCATCTTTTTTGCCTTTCAAAGGTATTTTTATGGTAACATTGATTACTAAATCATTTCATGATGTTGGTACAAAAAGGCTGTTCTGTTTAGTTTGAAGGTCACTAAAACATTGCTACTGTACAGTAAGGCAGTGGTCTCCAAACTTTTTTGATCGCGCACCCCTATCAGTAAAAAAGTTTTGACCACGCACCCCCTGCTGCACCAGCTCTACCATTTTACCTAGACAAATACAAAGGAGAGGATTGATGACTATTAACCAACACAGATGCTGAAGTATGACTATATAGGGCAGATATTCCCCTATAAAACTAATTGCCAAAACAAAGTCTTACTAAAATCTGTTTTAGGTATTCCCACACCATCCAGTCAAAGTCTTTCTTAGCATCCAAAGAAAGCCACTAACAGGAAGACTTGCTAGAATTAACA